GGTCATCTCGACAAAAAGGAAGATCCGGGGAGTTTCACTTTGCCCTGCATGTTGGGACCCCTATCTTTCAAAAACAGCCTCTGCGATCTAGGATCATCTGTCAGCCTCATGCCTTTGTCTGTAGCAAAGAGACTGGGATATCACAAGTACCAAGCCTGCGGAATCTCACTAGTCTTGGCAGATAGATCGATAAGGTTACCAACTGGGATGCTTGAAGACCTGCCTTTGAGGATAGGGAATGTAGAAATCCCCACCGACTTCATTGTGCTTGAGATGGATGAGGAACCAACAGATCCATTGATTCTAGGAAGGCCATTCCTAGCTACAGCAAGAGCAATGATAGATGTCTGTGAAGGAACAATTGAGTTAAACTTGGGAAAGGACCTAAGATGAAGTTTGAATGATACAATGAGGATAGAATGAACAATCTATAGAAGGTCAGCTCTTTTATGTTGAGGAAATGGATCAGTTGGCAGATGAGCTTTTAGAAGAGTTATCAACAGAGGATCCCTACAAGTTGCTTTGACCAAGGATTCTTCAGAGGGATATGTGAGCTCAGAAACTGATGAGTACAAGAAGCTCCTTGACACCTTCAGACCAGTTCCAAACATTCTGAGCATTGAGAGATTGGACAGGCCAGTTTGCGAAGTCATGGCAGTGAGCTCGATCAAGAACTCGATCGAGTCGAGTCGAACAAACAACTCGATCGAGCTGGGACTGAATGCAAGGAGCAAGCTCAAGGAGATTGGTCTGAGCTTAAGGCGCCTAAAGTCGACCTCAAACCTTTGCCTGAGGGCCTCAGGTATGCATTTCTGGGTGAAAACTCAACTTACCCTGTCATTGTGAACTCTGATTTGGAACCTGAACAGTTGAGTGCTTTGCTTGTTGAATTGAGGAAGTACAGAAAGGCAATAGGTTACACTCTAGATGATATCAAGGGGATCTCCCCTGACCTATGCATCCATAGGATTCATCTAGAGGATGAAAGTAAGTCAAGCATTGAACCTCAGAGAAGGTTGAACCCCAATCTAAAGGAAGTAGTGAAGAAAGAGATACTCAAGTTGCTTGATGCTGGGATAATCTATCCCATCAGTGATAGCACTTGGATATCTCCAGTTCATTGCGTCCCAAAGAAAGGGGGGATCACTGTCATAAAAATGACAAAGAGGAGCTGATTCCCACTAGAACAATAGTGGGGCATCGCATGTGTATTGACTATAGGAAGCTAAATTCAGCATCTAGAAAGGATCATTTCCCTCTCCCTTTCATTGATCAGATGTTAGAAAGATTGGCAAACCACCCTTTTTATTGTTTTCTTGATGGCTACAGTGGTTTCTTCCAAATCCCGATCCACCCTAATGATCAGGAGAAGACCACTTTCACATGCCCTTATGGCACCTTTGCTTATCGAAGGATGCCATTTGGGCTGTGCAATGCTCCAGCTACTTTCCAGAGGTGCATGACCTCCATTTTTTCAGATCTGATAGAGGAGATGGTAGAAGTCTTCATGGACGATTTCTCAGTCTATGGAGCATCCTTCTCCTCATGTTTGTCTAACTTGTGCAGGGTGTTGCAGAGGTGTGAGGAGACCAATCTAGTACTCAACTGGGAGAAGTGCCACTTCATGGTTCGAGAAGGGATTGTGCTTGGACACAAGATTTCCGAGAAAGGGATCGAGCTCGATCGAGCTAAGGTGGATGTCATGTTGCAGCTCCCTGTTCCCAAGACTGTGAAGGACATAAGGAGTTTTCTGGGTCATGCAGGGTTCTACAGAAGATTCATCAAGGATTTCTCAAAGATAGCAAGACCCTTGACAAGGCTTCTGTGCAAGGAGACAGATTTTGAGTTTGATGAAGAATGCCACAAGTCTTGGACCTTGCTGAAGGATGCTCTGGTATCTGCGCCAATAGTTCAAGCTCCAAACTGGGATCACCCATTTGAGATTATGTGTGATGCATCTGACTATGCAGTAGGAGCAGTGCTTGGCCAAAAGATAGACAAGAAACTCAATGTCATCTACTATGCAAGCAAGACTATGGATGATGCTCAGTGCAAGTATGCAACCACAGAGAAGGAGCTCCTTGCCATAGTCTTTGCCTTTGAGAAGTTTCGAAGCTATATAGTTGGATCCAAGGTGATTGTGCACACTGACCATGCTGCCCTTAGGCACATCTTCGCTAAGAAAGATACAAAGCCAAGACTTCTCAGATGGATCCTTTTGCTTCAAGAGTTTGATATAGAAGTTGTGGACAAAAAGGGAGTAGAAAATGGAGTTGCTGATCATCTCTCTAGGATGCGAGTTGAAGACATGATCCCCATCAATGATTCTATGCCTGAAGAACAGCTTATGGCAATCATGATCTTGAAGGAGAGTTTTGATGAGAAAGCAGGCTGGAAGAAGTTAAGGCTCTGCGTGATGAGAATTTGCCATGGTATGCTGATATAGTGAACTTCATGGTGTCCGGAGAAGTCCCTAGTAGCTTTGATGCTTACAAGAGGAAGAAATTCTTCAAGGATGCTAGGCATTACTATTGGGATGAGCCTTACTTGTACAAGAGAGGACCAGACAGCATTTACAGGAGATGCATAGCTGAAGAGGATGTGCAAGGAGTTCTAGAGCATTGCCATGGGTCAGCTTATGGAGGTCACTTTGCTACATTCAAAACAGCAACTAAGGTTTGCAATCTGGGTTTATGGTGGCCTACTTGTTTAAGGATGCAGCAAGCTACATTGCCAAGTGTGATCCATGCCAAAGGAAAGGAGGGATCACCAAGAGGGACGAGATGCCACTAAACCCAATTCTAGAAGTTGAGATCTTTGATGTATGGGGAATAGACTTCATGGGACCTTTCAAACCTTCTCAAACGGGCACAACTACATTTTGGTTGCTGTGACTATGTGTCCAAATGGATTGAAGCCATTCCCCTGCCCAACCTGTGATGCCAAGGTTGTTATCAAGCTTTTCAGAACCATCATCTTTCCAAGATATGGCATCCCAAGGGTTGTTATTTCGATGGAGGCTCCCATTTCATCAACAAGGTGTTTGAGAAGTTGATGAAGAGTTATGGAGTCAAGCACAAGGTCGCCACGCCTTATCACCCTCAAACCAGTGGGCAAGTTGAAGTCTCCAACAGACAGATAAGGCCATATTGGAGAAGACTGTGAGCTTCACTAGGAAAGGATTGGGCAGCAAGGCTTGATGAAGCACTTTGGGCTTATAGAACAGCTTACAAAACCCCCATTGGAAGGTCTCCTTTCAATTTGCTGTATGGGAAGGATTGCCACTTACCTGTGGAGGTCGAATACAAGGCTTTATGGGCAGTAAAGATGCTGAACTTTGATATAAAGGCAGCACAAGAAAGGAGGGTAATGAACTTGTTTGAGTTGGAGGAAATCAGAATGAATGCCTATGAGAACTCCATGATTTACAAGATGAGAACCAAGGCAGCCCACGACAAACTGATTCGCCTTAAAGGACTTCAAGGTTGGGGACAGTGTGCTCTTGTATAACTCCAAGCTAAGGTTGTTTCCCGGGAAGCTGAGGTCAAAGTGGGCGGGACCATTCAAGATTCACGAAGTTCTACCCTATGGGTCCCTCACTTTGCTCAATCAAGAGGGGAAGGAATTCACAGTGAAATGGACATAGATGCAAGCCATATCTAGGAATGACCCCCACAGAGGAGATCATCACTCCTCTAGAAGATCCAACCCCGGCCTAAAAGGGGTAAGGTCAAGCTATGAGACCTAAAACAAGCTCACTTGGGAGGAATTCCCATGTCTATCTTACATTTATACTTTCCTTTTATTTTTATGATTTTTCTTGGCTAAGTCTTGCACAGGAGCAGGTTTTAGGAAGAAGAGTGCAACTCGAGGCACAACTCGATCGAGTCCAAGAGCAAGCTCGATCGAGTGAGCCGCAAGAAACCCAGTTGATGGAGTGCTCCTGATGGCCGTCTCCCTCTCCAGACCACGACCTAGCCTCCCAGTTCTTTGGGGGGCACTGAGGTATCCAAACACCAACCCTTGTATATACCATTTCATATTTTCTTGCATTTGTTCTTGTTTTTTCTTGGTTTTGCCCTCTTGAATCTTTCACTAAATTTTTCTCACACAAGGGACTGTGTGATTTAAGTTTGGGGGAGGGTTCAAGAGATGATTTAACCTTGTTTTCTTTGTTCTTAGTTTTTCATTTATCTTTTGCATAGAAAAACCAAAAAAATCATAAAATTTTCAAAAAATCCAAAAATATTTTCATCTTTTTGCATTCATATTTGTTAGACTTGTTTAGGATTGCATCTTTTCATTGCATTGTTGATTTGACTTTGAAAACTTGTTCATCTTTTGCGATTTCTTGAGTGCCCTGTTTTTAGATTCTTTTGTGCATTAGGGTGAGATTGATTGAGCAGCAAGAACCATGTTTATCTTGATCATATCACTGCATGCACATCTCATTCAACCATTGCTGTGATTTGATGCATTTCCCTATCTATTTGAACCATAACTTGATCTTTAATTACCAATGCTTGCATTTGATTTCAACTCATGGCTACCACATACATATCTGGACATTCTTTCACTTTTCATATCCCTTTGCTTGTCCAGATAGCTGATCTCCATCTTTGAGACAGTTACCACACCTTAAACCTAAGCCTTTTCATTTCAAACCCCATATTATCTCTTGTGCGATTGTGAGAACCTTTCTTGGCTTTGCTTAGCATAAGGTGTTGTGTTTAAACCGGCAGGGGCAGTAGTTCTAGTTGTCTAGTTCTCTTGGGATTGTTTTCAGGCTAAGTTTGGGGGTGCCAACTCGAGCTCGATCGAGTTGGGTGTAAAAACCAGAAAAGTGGTAAAAGTTGGGAAAAACCAAAGGAAAAAGAGTTTAGTTAAGTCCAGGGAGTTGGCAGTGTTAAAAAGGGTCTAGTAAAGGTTTGGGAAGTTAAAAAAGGAAAGTAAAAAGGGTTCTAAGTAGAATGAAAAGAAGGCAAAGCCTCAAGTGTCAAAAAGGAAAGAAAAGTTCCCTAAGTGTTTAGAAAATCCCAAACCGCTAGATGTTACCTCAAGAAGCCTCTCCCTAGGAAGTTCTTAAAAGAAAAGTGAGCAAAGCTCCTCAGTTTCAAAGGCGAAATGCCAAAAAGGGTAGTTAGGATTTTGTTCTAAAAAGCTCTAAGTGTTGAACTCGATCGAGTTAGGATTAGGCGGCTCGAGCTGCTGTTCTTGCATCATCTTTGGTTCTAACACTTAGCCTTCTGCCAAAGCAAAGCCACTTTCTTGAGAGATCCCTGTTACTAAACCACCATACAAAAGAGACCCTCTTTGTCTCTTAACCCATAAACCCTTGAAACCAAATGAGTTGATTGATCTTGCATGTTTTTGGTTCACTGTTTTTGCTTAATGAATGTTAAAGGGATTTGCTGATTTGAATGCATTGTTTGAGTGACTGTGAAGTGGGATTGATGTTGATAAGCATGGTTAAATCTTAATGAATATCTCTCACCTTGTTGCATTCTAGAATCTCTAAGTTGGACATTTAGCAAATCGCTTTTGAGGACATGTTTTTAAGTGTTGAATCAGCTTTTTCAAACCTCATCTCTTTCTTGTTCTATTTGTTTGCTTGAGGGCAAGCAAAGTTCAAGTTTGGGGGTGTTACTTAGTCAAGGTCACAAGGAAGTGATTCACAAGTTCAGAAGAGATCTCAGTGGGATTGGAATTGAGTTGCCTCCTATGGATAGCATGAGTGAGGCATTTGATCAAATGCAAATGGTCAAGGATGTTCTAGCCAACAGTGATAAAGTTTCAGAGGTCCTAAAGAGTCTACTCATCAGTTCAACCTGCTTACTTCACCCACCTTCCTACCAAAGGTCAAGGATCAAGGGAAATTCACTCTCCCTTGCACACTTGGGCATCTTGAGCTTGACAATGCCTTAGTGGATTCTGGAGCAAGCATCAATCTGATCTCTCTCTCCATGGCAGAGAAGCTAGGCATTGCTGGAGCCTTGCAGCGCCCTACTACTTCAATCATGTTTGGAGATGCAACTTCTAAGTCTCCTCTTGGAGTGTTCAAGAACTATCACTTGAAAATTGGAGAATGCATCATCCAAACTGATCTCACTGTGATGGAAATGGAAGAAGAGAAGGATCTACCTCTGTTATTGGGAACCCCTTCCTTAGTACAGTTGGCGCTTCAATAGACTTTCACAAGCAAGAAGTGATCCTTCACAAGGTGAATAGTTTGGTGTCATATCGCTTGCAGCCTAGAGGTTCAGACTTTTGTGCCACAATTGACAGTACCACTCTCAGTTCTAAGAGTCATGAGCTACAAAGGTTGTGAAGGAAAGGGTTGACAAAGAACCAAGAGTTGGGAAGGATAAGGTTGAGAGAGGACCAAGGATTGAGAAGCCACGTCTTGAGAGGGCTAGAGTTGAGAAACCACGTTCTGATAGGCCACGAGCTGATAGACTTGTTCAAGCCCCTTGTGTGCTTGATGAAGAGAGCCTTCAAGCTTTGTTTGATGAGCCACTAGGAAGGGCTCTAAAAGAAGGGGAGGATGTAGCCTCTAAGGCAAGACCAGGTGATAAAAGAAAGGATCCACCAGCTCAGGCCCCTTCATCAAGCCATCTCAGCTCACAATGACTTTGTTCCCCACCAAGTTTGAAAATGGGAAGATTGAGTACAAGATAAGGTACAAGGGGAGATCAAGGCCATTCTCTAGAGCCAAGGCCTTGGTGACTTCAGAACAATCCAGGGACCCAACCAAGCTAAAGGAGCTTCTGTCTCAAGTCCTCACTATCACCCTTGATGGTGGGACTAGCTCAACCAATGCCTAAGAAGGTAAAGGTCAAGCTATGGGACCTTAAACAAGCTCACTTGGGAGGAAGTCCCATGTTTATCCTTGTACATATTCTATTTATGCAATTTCTATCTATTTTATGTCTTTAACCTTTCAATAAGTTAAGTTTAGGTGACAAAGGAGCCAGCTCGACCGACAGCTCGATCGAGCTAGAAACCAGGGCAACTCGATCGAGTTCCACAACTCGACCAGGTAAGTTTTTGAATTTCAAATTTCTAACCGTTTTCTTGGTCAAGGGAGTGGGTCCCACAAGTTAATTTTGGTCCCCCACTTCCTGAATTGATCAGAAAAACCCTAGCTTTTGTCCCCTCTTTATTCACTTTTAATCTCAACCACACATCTCAAACACTCCCTCTTCCCCATAACTCGATCGAACCCACTTCCCACTCTCCCACACTTAAAATTTCTGAAACTCATCTCTCTCTCTCTTCACCACAAGAAAAATCGAATTCCTCTCTTTCTCTCTTAAGTTTTTGCGATTTCCTCTTGTTCTTCATTGTTTGCTTTGGGTTCTAGTTACTGTCTTCAATTCATCATTCAAGCAAGGTATGAACCCTAAAACCCTTGATTCCTCCATCTCGATTTCCATTATTGCTTGTTTCCTCTTTGATTTTTGATTGCATGTGTCCCTTGTGGATTGTTCTTGAGTAATTGCTCATATCTTCTCCTGCTCATATTTTTGAATTTGCCTCACCTCACCTCTGTTTTACTATTAAACTTGTTGCATGTGCTTGAAAATTGAATTTGAGTTTGGTATTGGTTAAGATGCTTTGCTTCACTAGAATTGCTCATTGTTCCATTTACTAGTTGTTCTTGGTTCAATTTGATTGATTAGCATCCTTTCCAGCTCTTAATACTTGAATTAGGTTCGGTTATACTCTGTTTTCACCTAGCTCGATCGAGTTTGTCACTCGAGTTTTTTGACTCGATCGAGCTGAGTGTCGAGTTGACCAAACCGATCATTACAACTCTAATTCTTTGTAATCTTTGATGCATTTCAGGTACTTTAGTGAAGAAACAGTGTAACAAGATGACAAACAGTGAGGGAAGCGCACTTCACAGAGGAGAATGGTTGAGGGTGAATCAAGCAATGCAAGGAAAGAAGGCTTAAGATGCAAGCCGATTTGAGAGGATGACTCAAAGGATGGAAGAGTCTGATGCAGAGGAGTATGTGTACTCTGAGGAGAGTCTGAGAGTGAGAGATTGAGGGAGGAGAAGGAGAACCAAGAAGAGGAATGACCCATTAGTAGTGAGAGTGAGCAAGGGAGTTTGAGATTGGAGTGAACCTTGTTCAAGAGGAGGAAATGGCTCTCCAGAAGAAGGAAGTGATGAGACTGAGAGTGAAGAGGAAGGAGAAGAGGTGAATCAATTGGTTGAAGAGAGTAACCAAGATGAACCATGGAGGAGGTTGAGCCAAAGAGGAGCACAAGAGGAGGAGAAGCTCCCCATGTACCAAGAGCACTACAATGCTCTCTTCTCCATGGACTTTGTGGAGACCAAGTACCCACATGTTGACACAATGAAGGCCCTTGGAATCTTTGAGGATGTGGAGCTTTCTCAAGAACATGCACTTGGCCAAGTTTTCTCTTATCACATGGAATCCTACAAGGAGCTCACTTGCGAGTTCTTTGGCTTCAATGAGGTACCACATGTACGATGAGGATAGAGCTGATTTGGACCAAGGATTGGGATGGATCACGTTCTTGGCTAAGGGAGAGAAGAGAATGGTGACCTTTAGGCAGTTGGAGATCTTTTTGGGTTCAACTATGGAGAAGGGTACCAAGTGGAACTTCAAGGAAAGGAACTCCAAAGGGTTTGGGCTACAATCGCTGATGGAGGTACTCTTCCTCAAGGTCCAAGGCTGCTCAAATCAGGAGCCCAGTGCTTGAGGTATGTGCACAAGGCACTTGCCAACACCTTCTTTGCAAGGAAGGCACCGGGACCATCAACGAGGGGGAACTCAAGTTTCTTGACATGGGAATCAAGCCCATCTCTCACGCACAAGGATGGCAAGAGGATCAAGGGAGATAGATCTGACACAGGGAACTTGATGCCTTCCTTGACCATCTCCTCACCTACAAGACACAGCCTACAACACTAGCATCAACGAGGAAGGCGCTAAGTGTTGGAGGGCTCATCACACCTATCTTGTGTGCTGCTGGAGTGAACCCAACTGATAGGAAGCCACTGAACCAGGTTGGATGGACATCAAGTTTTGCAAGACCAACCTCTCATTGAGCACAAGGAGTTGGATGGGAGGTTCCAATTCAAGTTCACACATCCATTGGCTGGCCCTCCAAGCTTCTCCTGCCCAACCCAGCTCACCACAGTAGTAGGGGTGAGAACATTGACTTCAGACCCCCTGTGTACACATTAGTTGGGCATGAGGACGATTTGCGAGAAGAGGAGCCTGAGCTCGATCGAGCTGAGGATCGAGCTGAGTCTCAAGCTGAGGATCAGTCCAGGAGAGTGCGGATTTGGGTGAGCCTGAGTGCTATTATTTTGAGGAGTATGAGGCTCCAAGGATGAACCCCTCTGTTGTGGCTGCCCACAAGAGGATTGGACTTCTCCAAAAGTTCAACAAATGGCAAGGGAAAGCCATTGAAAGATGCAAAAGTCCATGGACAAGATGGTGAGCAAGATCAAAAGTTTGGAGAAGAAGGTTTCTGGTTCTTCAAGCAAGAAGAAGAAGGCTCCCATGAGCCACATTCCTAGGAGTAGATCCTTCTCACCACTCCAAGGAGGCTCCCTGCCCAAGAGCCTCACAGAGCCTCTTCTTTCGAGCCAAGGGAAGGAGAAGACAACACGCAGAGAAGGAGGAAGACTTCTAAGGCCAGACGCTCCAGCTCGACCACCGGACTCGATCGAGTCCAAACAGAGGAAACTCAACTCGATCGAGCTGACGGTCGAGTTGGTCTTGAGGAGCCCAGTTCGAGGATCCGGGATTTGAATACGATCCAACGCCTTACCAGGAGCCTCCCCGGAGTAGATGGAACCCCTATGGACAGTACGAGCTAGCCATGCTCCACCAAGGCCAAGGGAGCACACACACTTCAATGAAGAAGAGGAAGAAGAGGAGCCGCAAGCTCGATCGGGTGAGTGATGATAGGATTTGTGTGTGGATGTGATATGAAATGAGGTGGAATGCAAACAGGGGTGAATAAAGATGATACGGTATGGTGCAAACACAATCAATCAATTCCTCTTAACCATCATAGTCATTGAAGTATAAGAGGTTATCAATCCAAAATGGGAAACTTGTTACTCTTTGAGAGTATGAAACAACCTGAAAGTCAAGCAAGCAGTTATAGATTTGAAGTAACACTAACAACCTAAAAATAATGAAAAGCAGTGCAATAAAAGTAAACAAAGCAGTGAAGTGTCAGCTCGACCAAGAGCTCGAGTCGAGCTAGAGCAAAGTACCAGCTCGATCGAGTTTAGGGACGAGTTGAGACAAACAAGGCTAAAGGTGACGACTTTAACAAGATAAAGAGAGAATTAGGGTTCAAGACAGGGTTTTGCAATCAAAGGAATCTACACTTAATCAATCTAGCTCTTAAAACTCCTTGTATCAAGGCTTCTCTTGATATTGGGCTTCTCAATGCCTAGCCAACCCTTTCCCAAGGTGGAGGCTATCAACCAAGGAATGATCTCAGAAACAGGGGGTTAGCCAGTGAGAATCAAACCTTGGAGGCTTAGGATCATTGCCCAAACTAATCCATCCAACCCCTTGACCTCTATTGTCTAGAGCAAGAGATATTGGAGCTCTTAGTGGATCTTTTCCAGCGAATGCCATCACTTTCGTGTGGGGAGTCGCCTAAGGACTTACAAGCCATGGGTAGTGATCATGTAGCCTTAAGATCTATCCAAAAGAGAGAGAATCTAGATTAAGACCATAAGCTAGAAGGATTAAGCATATGAAACCTCTAATCTATCCCATCTCAAACCCCAATGGGTAACTACTCACTAAACATAAATGTAAATACAAGCAAATTCAATAAAAGAGACATCATAAGAAAGAGGAGATGAAATTAAACAACTTTTATTGAAATAAGCAAGTGCAAATACAAGAGAGATTATCCAGGATCTAAGATTCAAGAAGCAAGAGCTTCAAGAACACAAAGATGAGGATTAGATCTCTAAAAAGTAAAGGTACAAATAAATTAAAAGAAGCTAAAACAAAAGTAATGGCTAAGAGCCTTTAAATACAAAGAGGATTAGGTTTAGGGTCAAAGGGAAGTCAAGGGGGAAGCAACATTTTTCGGGTTTGACTTTGACTCCCCAGCTCGATCGAGTTGAAGCTTGGCCGGTCGAGTTGAGGAACTCGACCGGTTGGTCGAGTGGACGGTCGAGCTGGTCTGTCAAGATGACTTGCTCCCTTCTTCAATGATGAAAGCTAAAACTATGCAAAAGATGCATAAAAGATGTGCTAAAACTATGTAAAATGCAAGTACATCAACACCCCCAAACTTGAACTTTGCTTGCCCTCAAGCAAACAAATAGAACAAGAAAGAGATGAGGTTTGAAACAAGCTGATTCAACACTTAAAAACATGTCCTCAAAAGCGATTTGCTAAATGTCCAACTTAGAGATTCTAGAATGCAACAAGGTGAGAGATATTCATTAAGATTAACCATGCTTATCAACATCAATCCCACTTCACAGTCACTCAAACAATGCATTCAAATCAGCAAATCCCTTTAACATTCATTAAGCAAAAACAGTGAACCAAAAACATGCAAGATCAATCAACTCATTTGGTTTCAAGGGTTTATGGGTTAAGAGACAAAGAGGGTCTCTTTTGTATGGTGGTTTAGTTAACAGGGATCTCTCAAGAAAGTGGCTTTGCTTTGGCAGAAGGCTAAGTGTTAGAACCAAGGATGATGCAAGAACAGCAGCTCGAGCCGCCTAATCCTAACTCGATCGAGTTCAACACTTAGAGCTTTTTAGAACAAAATCCTAACTACCCTTTTTGGCATTTCGCCTTTGAAACTGAGGAGCTTTGCTCACTTTTCTTTTAAGAACTTCCTAGGGAGAGGCTTCTTGAGGTAACATCTAGCGGTTTGGGATTTTCTAAACACTTAGGGAACTTTTCTTTTCTTTTTGACACTTGAGGCTTTGCCTTCTTTTCATTCTACTTAGAACCCTTTTACTTTCCTTTTTTAACTTCCCAAACCTTTACTAGACCCTTTTAACACTGCCAACTCCCTGGACTTAACCAAACTCTTTTCCTTTGGGTTTTTCCCAATTTTTACCACTTTTCTGGTTTTTGACACCCAACTCGATCGAGCTCGAGTTGGCACCCCCAAACTTAGCCTGAAAACAATCCCAAGAGAACTAGACAACTAGAACTACTGCCCCTGCCGGTTTAAACACAACACCTTATGCTAAGCAAAGCCAAGAAAGGTTCTCACAATCGCACAAGAGATAAAATGGGGTTTGAAATGAAAAGGCTTAGGTTTAAGGTGTGGTAACTGTCTCAAAGATGGAGATCAGCTATCTGGACAAGCAAAAGGGATATGAAAATAGGTAAAGAATGTCCAGATATGTATGTGGTAGCCATGAGTTGAAATCAAATGCAAGCATTGGTAATTAAAGATCAAGTTATGGTTCAAATAGATAGGGAAATGCATCAAATCACAGCAATGGTTGAATGAGATGTGCATGCAGTGATATGATCAAGATAAACATGGTTCTTGCTGCTCAATCAATCTCACCCTAATGCACAAAAGAATCTAAAAACAGGGCACTCAAGAAATCGCAAAAGATGGAACAAGTTTTCAAAGTCAAATCAACAATGCAAGTGAAAAATGCAATCCTAAACAAGTCTAACAAATATGAATGCAAAAAGATGAAAATATTTTTGGATTTTTTGAAAATTTTATGATTTTTTTGGTTTTTCTATGCAAAAGATAAATGAAAAACTAAGAACAAAGAAAACAAGGTTAAATCATCTCTTGAACCCTCCCCCAAACTTAAATCACACAGTCCCTTGTGTGAGAAAAATTAGTGAAAGATTCAAGAGGGCAAAACCAAGAAAAAACAAGAACAAATGAAAGAAAATATGAAATGGTATATACAAGGGTTGGTGTTTGGATACCTCAGTGTCCCCCAAAGAACTGGGAGACTAGGTCGTGGTCTGGAGATGGGAGACGGCCATCAGGAGCGCTCCATGCAACTGGGGTTGCCTCTTGCGGCTCACTCGATCGAGCTTGTGGCTCCTCTTCCTCCTCTTCTTCATCGTTGAAATGTGTGTGGCTTCCTTGGCCTTGGTGGAGCATTGGTAGCTCGTACTGTCCATAGGGGTTCCATCTACTCCGGGAGGCTCCTGGTAAGGCATGGGATCGTATTCAAATCCCGGATCTCGAACTGGGGCTCCTCCTGGTCAGCTCGACCGTCAGCTCGATCGAGTTGAGTTTCCTCTGTTTGGACTCGATCGAGTCCGGTGGTCGAGCTGGAGCGTCTGGCCTTGGAAGTCTTCCTCCTTCTCTGCGTGTTGTCTTCTCCTTCCCTTGGCTCGAAAGAAGAGGCTCTGTGAGGCTCTTGGGCAGGGAGCCTCCTTGGAGTGGTGAGAGTGATCTACTCCTAGGGAATGTGGGGGCCTTGGACTTCTTCTTCTTGCTTGAAGAACCAGAAACCTTCTTCTCCAAACTTTTGATCTTGCTCACCATCTTGTCCATGGACTTTTGCATCTTCTCAATGGCTTTCCCTTGCCATTTGTTGAACTTTTGGAGAAGTCCAATCCTCTTGTGGCTGCCACAACAGAGGGGTTCATCCTGGAGCCTCATAGACTCAGCTCCAAATCCTCATCACTCGAGTGTCACTCACACCAAAGGTCAGGTTCATCCTTGGAGCCTCATACTCTCAAAGTAATAACACTCAGGCTCACCCAAGTCAGCGCTTTCCTGCACTCCATCTTCAGCTTGAGCCTCAGCTCGATCCTCAGCTCGATCGAGCTCGATCTCTTCTTCTTGCAAATCTGCTTCATGCCCAACAAAGTGTACACAGGGGGTCTGAAATCAATGTTTGTACCTCCTAGGACCGTGGTGAGCTCTGGGTTGGGCAGAAGAAGCTTGGAGAGTCCAGCCAATGGGGTGGGTGAATTTGAATTGGAATCTCCCATCCAACTCCTTGTGCTCAATGAGGAGGTTGGTCTTGCAAAACTTGATGTCCATCCAACCTGGTGGAGTAGACCTTCTCTTGTCCATTTGAACTCCTGCTGCACAAAGAATTGGTGTGATTACCCCTCCAACACTAAGCTTCTTCCTCTTTGGTGCCTAGTGTTGTAAGTTGTGACCTTGTAGGCTTGGAGCTGCTCAAGGAGAGGCATGAGATTCCCTGCGTGTGCCCTGTCTCCTCTGATCTTCTTCCCATCCCTAGTTCGTGAGATGATAGGCTTGATTCCCATGGTAAGGAGCTTCACTTCTCCCTCATTGATTGTTCCAGTGGCTTTCCTTGCAAAGAAGGTGTTTGCAAGAGCCTTGTGGACATATCTAAGCACTGGACTTCTGATCTGGGCAGCCTTGGACCTTGAGGAAGAGTACCCATCTTCAGCTATTGTAGCCCATACTCTTTGGAGTTCTTCTTCCTTGATGTTCCATGGTTACCTTCTCCATAGGTGAACCCAAACAGTATCTCAAGCTGCCTAAAGGTCACCATCTTCTTCTCTCCCTTTGCTAGGAAAGTTATGTACCCCCAGCCTCGGTCCAACTCAGCTCGATCGAGCTCATCAAACTTGTGATGCTTCATTGACGCCAAAAACTCACAAGTCAACTCCTTGTAAGACTCCATGCGGTGAGAGCAGAACTTCCCCAATTGCATGTTCTTGAGCACCAACTCCACATCCTCAAAGATACCAAGATCTCTCATTGTGTCATCGTGTGGGTGCTTAGTCTCCACAAAGTCCATGGAGAAGAGAGCGTTGTAGTGCTCTTGGTACATGGGGAGCTCATCCTCCTCTTGCTCTTCCTCAGCCTCTTCCATTGGCTCATCTTGGTTCCCCTCTTGGTCATCTTCATCAACCAATTGGTTCACCTCTTCTCCTTCCTCATCACTCTCAGTTTCCTCACTGCCTTCCTCATTTGGAGAGCCATTTCCCCCCTCTTGAACAAAGTTCACTCCAATCTCAAACTCTCCTTGCTCACTCTCACTACTTATAGGGTCATTCCTCTTCTTGGTTCTCCTTTCTTCCCTCAATCTCTCACTCTCAGACTGTTCCTCCTCAGAGTATACATATCCTCTGCATCAGATTCTTCCATCCTCTGATCCATCCTCTTCAAATCGGCTTGCATCTTAAGCCTTGTCTCTCCTCTGTGAAGCGCGGCTTCCCTCACTGTCTGTCATCCTTGTTACTCTGTTTCTTCACTAAAGTACCTGAAATGCATCAAAGATTACAAAGAATTAGAGTTGTAATGATCGGTTTGGTCAACTCGACACTCAGCTCGATCGAGTCAAAAAACTCGAGTGACAAACTCGATCGAGTTGGTTGAAAACAGAGTATAACCAAACCTAATTCAAGATTAAGAGCTGGAAAAGATGATAATCAACCAAATTGAACCAAGAACAACTAGTAAATGGAACAATGAGCAACTATAGAGAAGTACTAATCATCTTAACCAAAACCAAACTCAAATTCAATCCTTTCAAGCACATGCAACAAGTTTAAAGGCAAAACAGAGGTGAGGTGAAACAAAACTAACAAGACTATACAGCAGAGGCGAAATATGAGGGTAATATTCAAGAACAAGTCCACAAGGGACACATGCAATCAAAAATCGAAGAGAAAATAATCAATAATGGAAATCGAGATAGGGTAATCAAAGGTTCTAGGGTTCATACCTTGCTTTGAATGATGAATTAAGAACAGTAAGCTAGAACCCAAACGAAATCGGTGAAGCACAAGAGGAAATGCAAAAACTTAAGAGAGAAAGAGAGGGATTCGAAAAAAATTTCTTGTGGTGAAGAGAGATGGATGAAATTCAGAAAGTTTAAGATTGTCGGAGAGAGAGAAGGTGGATTTGATCGAGTTATGGGGAAGAGAGTTGTTTGAGATGTGTGGTTGAGATTAAAAGATGGGATAAAGAGGGAACAAGAAATTAGGGATTCTCTGATCGAATTAGGGTAGTGGGGGACCAAAATCAGCTTGTGGCACCCACTCCCTTGACCAAGAAAACGGTTATGAATTTGAAATTCAAAAACTTACCT